AAATAATTAATTACAATATATATATATATATATATATATATATATATATTAAAAATCATCAATGAGATAGGTAGTTGATTTTTGTTTTACATAATGTGTCAATTGCAGTGAGTTCAAAGGATAGGCTAGTCTCAAGATTTAACGCGATTGCATACACAAGATAAAATTCGAACTCTTAACCTTACTTAAACGTGGATCAACCTCTACCACTAAACTACATACTTGAGATTAGTTTCATTTTAATATATGATATATTATAAGCATTATAAATATAAAAGTTTTAGAAAGTTAAATAGAAATCATTATAATATAATTTTAAAATAATTATAAAAAATTAATAGTTATGTAATAAATAAAATAATAATATAAAAAGTTCTATAGTTTGAATATATTTGACGTAAAATATTATATATAGGAAAAAGGTCATCCAATCGTTTTCGATTTATGTTCTTTCGTTTTCGTTTCTCGTTGATGCCTGCCCCTGAGTGCCTTCCGAATCCTGTATCAGTGCTTCTTCCAACTTGTCATTTTCACATGGTCCATTACTATCATAGCACTTGTATTATTTTAACTAATAAATTGAGGATATACATTTTTATATATTAATAAAATTTGTTAATTTATCATCTTTCACATCTAGAAACTGCTGGTTGTCGGAAGAAAATGAATAAAAAATTATGGGAAAAATAAAGTAAATTTACATTAATTATTTTAATTAAAAAGAAAAGAAAAACTGATATTTTTAAAGGAAAAAACAATAACATTTAAAAAAATTCTAAATGCTATTTGTTCCTACTAAGAACACTCCTTTTCTCCTTCCTCTTGACTAGTCTCTTTAAGTTCTAAATGCAGGTCGAGTCTTGTCTTCGAGTGGTGGGGAGGGTGACACTCCGACGCTCAAGTGAGTATTTGGTATAGAGCAATAAAGGCTAGTGTATTAAATAATCGTATCTCTTTCTGTCCCATCATCCACGTATTTATAATGATATGTTTGAGACTGATGGGCCTTCTGTCTTGGGATATAGGTAATTGGGGATTGCTGTCCTTTAATTAGTTTTAGACACTGATTAGTCAGAAGGGTTCTCTATAGCCGTACCCTGACCTTTGTCGGTCGGGTTTATGGCCGAAGGGGTGTTCGGCTTCCTCCTTGCCGAATGGGTGTTCGGCCTTCCCATTGGCCGAAGGGGTGTTTGTCCTCTTTGTTAGCTGAAGGGGTATTTGCCCTCCTTATTATACTGATTAGTCAGATAGGCGTACCTTGGCCTTCATCGGACAGGCTTATGGCCGAAGAGGTGTTCGACTCCTTTCTTGGCCGAAGGGGTATCCGGCTTTCCGACTGGCCGAAGGGGTGTCCGACTTTCCTATTAGCCGAAGGGGTGTTCCTGGTACACTATTTAATATAAATTATTTTCATATAAGATTGAACGAAATAAATGTTAACTAATTAAACTTGCACATTAACTAATCACTTTTGTGATAACTTTTATCTCACATACTAACATTAAAGTATAAAATAACAAAGATAGTAAAGTGCTTAAAAATAAACTTTATTGGTTAAACAAAGGTTTGTAAATCTCCTTAATAAAAATATCTCATATATGTCATCAAAAAAGAACTAAATCAGTTGTCCAATATAATAATTACAAAATGAAATCTAATATAGTGTCTTAAACATAAAGAAACTAACAAAATGAAAAGTTTAACTAAATCTTCATGTCACATCTTATTAGAGTACAACACCCAACACAAGGCATAAGTCTCATCTTTCGTCTCAGGCTGATTGACCACTTTGGCGTACTTTTTAAAACTATTTACGTAAATGGAGTTGTTTTAAAACTATTTACACCTTTGGGACATTTTACTATAGTGTCGCTATGGGCCATAGCGACACCCGTGACATGTGTACTTTTTTAAATCCTAAGAAGCCATGAATGCCATATTATCAACGTCGCTATAGCCCATGACGATACAAAACGGCTTCAATGAAGTCGCTATAGCTAGAGCTGTCAAAATGGGTCAGCCTGGCCCATGTGGGCCGGCCCACCTTGACTCACTTTAAGACAAGCCAACCTAACCCGGCCCACTTTTGATTTTCTCAAAAAAAAATTTGGCCTGACCCGGCCCACCACGGGTTGGTGGGTTATACAGGCCAGGCCACCAGCCCACCAAAAATTAAAAAAAAAATTATCAACAAAATTCAAAAT